AGGGAAGCATTAGCTTATGCAATAGTTCTGTAACTTGAACATTATTGGGATAGTGGCAATAATAAGGACTGTAGACTTTCTCTCTCTCTTTTTAAAGAAACAAAATGATAGGTGCAGGTCAGCCAACTTCCAATTCAGAGCATGCTGTGAAAGAGATCCTCATCTTCTGCAGCAAGCAGCCTGGCCTGAAAATCAGGCACAGTATTGAATTATAAGGGTGGCAGGACTGCAAAGGTAGTACAAAGCCTTGCCAAGTCATTTATGCTAAAATTCTGGGCCCTAATTGGGAAAGATTAGGATCCTGATATATGGGACATTTGGGTATGTGTGTTTGAGTACCTCAAAACCGAAATTCTCTTGAACTCTCCGACCTAACAAAAGCATCTCTCTCCCACTTGCTATAGGAGAGCAACCTCTTTTTGTTTGGAGACCATGCAAAGATCTCACCTGAGGCAAGGGCCTTCCGAGATGCTTGTCCTCCTCAAAATCTATCCCCCCAATACATACAGACAAAATAGCTGTGGTCAGGCTTCGGCATAGCCAAGTGGAAAAGCACACTCACTGCTGCAAGAGAAAATGTCTCGCTTGCTGGGAGTGTTGCAGAACCTGGATGAAATTACCTGCAGGAACCAGAGGAGCATGTGTGAAAGTGGATCTTGAGGTAGTGAACTTGGGATAGTGGTGGTGGTGTGCTGAATATAAAGCTGGGATAGGGAGAGAATATTGACATAGGTGCATTCTCCCATGCCTCAGGTTTCAATGTCCTGGCAGACACCCAGGGACAGCCTGTGATAGGCAGAATAATAGTCCCCAAAGATGTCTACATCCTAAGCCCTGGACTCTGTGCCTAAGGTTGCAGATGGAAATTAGGTTGCTAATCAGCTGAGCTTAAAATGGGGAGATAATCCTTATTTTTTTATTTGACATGTAGCAATTTATAAATTTAAGGTTTACAGCATGTTACTTTGATGCATTTATATATTGTAATGTGATTTACATTAAAGCAATATTTATCAGATTACATCATTATAGTACACTATTACTGACTATATTCAATCTGCACATTAGATCTTTATGGCTTATTTTATTTACTACTTGAGAGATTATCCTTAATTATCCAGATGGCCCTAGTATAATCAAAAGGGTTCTTAGACGTATAAGAGGCAAGTAGAAGAGTCAGAGGGAAATGTGACTACGTAAGAATAGTATTGCTAACTTTGAAGACGAAGGAAGGGAGGCTATGAGTCAAGGAAGGTGGGCAGCCTCTAGAGCCTGGAAAAGGCCAGGTATCAACTCTTCCCAGGAGCTCCCAAAAGGGGAGCTTGATTGCAGCCCAGTGAGAACCATGTTGGAATTCTAAGCTACAGATAATTAAGTTGTGTTGTTTTAAGCCACTAAGTTTGTGGTAATTTGTTATGGCAACAACAGTAAACTAATACAATCAATACACTCTAGGGTGGCTCATTAAAACTTGAACATAAATGATGTAGAGATGCTAGACCTAATTAGCAGAGCACCGAGAAAAAGGTGAGCAGGCTCATGAATGTTAAAGTGAACTTATTACATGAGACCAGAGAACGTAATAACTATGTTACTGAGAGAACCCAAAGAACTCCCCATTCACTAAGACAGTAAGGTTACCAATGCAGAGAACACAGGTATTGCTGAGAATTTCAGTGGTGACTGTCTCTGTAGGCTAGGATTAATAGGAGATGCTGTCACCGAACTGAGTTCCTTAGTGTAAATGGGGTTGATTGTTTTCTAGAGTAGCTACTATGATGAGCGATAAGGCTGGAATGGCCACTGGGTTGTCTTGACCCACAGGAACCTGTGACAGTGGCTAACTTTTGGTGTTCCTAGGAAGGACTGAGGGCCAACAGGGTAATGCTTGACTTGTATAAACAAACAAAAGATCAAGAGCTGGTGAGAAGGTTATCAGTGTTGCTATGGGAAACTGTAATCCCTCACCAACTTTCCAGATCTGAGCTAGTTCTCTGATCCAGAATCATCAATTAATGGAGAAGATATGGGTTTCTTTGGGGAAGAAACTTACAATTCCACTACAACTATATGCAATAAATATTCCTTCACAGGGTCTTGTGGCTGTTTACTAGGGTAGGATACTAGGGAAAAGGAATGCCTAGACCTTTGAGGCTATTGGATACAGTGTCAGAGGTGACACAGATCTAGAGAATCTGAAACTTCCATCATTGCCATCCAGATAGATGCCAGCTAATAAATTGAGTCCTGACCCAAATTCATCTCAGTGGGCCCAGAGACACATCTTATGGTTCTGTTTCTGAAATGATCATTAGAATGGAGATACTCAGCAGAAGGGTGGATGATTAGCACATTGATTCCCTAAACTGTAGCCTAAGTCATTATGGTAAAGGGCCAAGTGGAACCCATGAAATTCTCCCTGTACTAAGCCAAGATTGTAAATCAGAATACTAATTCCTGTGTGGAATTAAAGTGATTAGTCTTACCCTCAAAGATATGACTCAATTCTTCTGTATTACTCCTGTAAAAAAACAAAACAAAACAGATTGGATTGTGGCCGATGACGATTGTCTACCATAAAGTTAATCACACAACTGCTGTACAGTCCTTACTGAAACAGGTCAACATGGCCTCTGGCTCATGGTATGTAGCTAGTGATCTGGTGAACGCATTCTTTCCCATCCCCATCAATAAAGAGGGTCAAAGAAAGTTCACAATTAACTAAGAAGGACAGAATACATTCAATTTCTCGACCCAGGCTTCTCAATCTTCCTGCTACTTCACACAGGACCTTGATTTTCTGGACGTTCTGTGGAACATCATTCTAGTGATGACATAATAATAATCAGACCTGGTGAACAGGAAGTAGCAAGTGTACTTGGATCCCTCAGTAAAATACACACATACCAGTGGATGGGAGATAAACCTTACAAAGATTCAAGGGCCTTTTATATCAATGAAGTTTTTAAGGGTCCAAATGTCTGAGGTATCCTGGGAACTTCTACGGTAAAGGACAAATTACAGCATCTTGCCCTCACTACTAAGAAAGAGGCAGTGTTTGGTGGGCTTTCTTGAATCTTGAAGGCATCATATACTTTCAAGTGTGGCCGTCATAAAACCCAAGTACCATATGACTTGGCAGATTCAGATGGTGTTAGAGGTATCTATGGGTAGGTAAAAATGTTTTGTAGAGGTCTGGCAAGCCCCAATAGGAGCTTACCAATAAAATTCTAGAGCAAGGCCATGCCTTCTGCAGCAAAGAACTATTCAATTTGAAAGGCAGCTCCTGGGATGCTACTATGAGACATCGACCATGTAACTGGATCTGTCAATCACATCTGAATATGCTCTGACCCACCAAGTCATTAGATCTGGATCAGGTGGACACAGCAACAATTCATCATATGGAGGAATCGTCACATTTGGGATCAGGAATGAGCAGGTCCACAAATCACAAGGTTTGTAAGCAGGAGGCTCAGACCCTGTGTCACCTGCCTTTACTGAACTGATGCTTCAACCTCTGCTCACACCTGTGGACTCATGGAAGCCTCCCTTTGACTTGGTGGAAGAAATTGGGGTGTGTTTCAGAGGGGTCAGCTCAATATGTTGGTGTAACTAAAAAGGCATTGATTCACTATGGCCTTCCTTAGGAGTGGTTGTAACAGTCAGTGAGAAATCTGGTACAAGCAGTTTATTTGGCACCAATGTTGTATGGAGGGAGAGTGGTCTGAGGTTATGTCATGGCCTCTTGGGTGATGGCAAACAGCTTGTCTAGTAGACAAGGGACCTGCAAAGAAGGTAAGTCTGGAAACAAGATCCGAGGAGGATGTCTGCTTACGGACAGACCTATGGGAGCCGAAACGAAGTGTGTAGATCTTTGCGTCCGACATCAATGTTCTTCAGAAAGTACCCACTGCACAGAAGGTGTCAGGATGATAGGGGTAGCATAGATGTGAAACCCATTCACCTTTTGCCAAACTAGGAGGATGAGAGGCAGGTCTTTGGGCTTAGCAGAGCTTACTTCCCTTATGTGGAGCAGCCCCAGCAGGAGCCCTACAGATAGTCAGCGGCTGCCTAATCGCTAAATCCTCTGTGGGCCTCCATCATGGTTAGTATATAACATGAAACCTCACATGAAAAGGTACTGAATTATAGGGCTGGCAAGACATCCAGAAGATTGTCAGCAAGCTACTGAACAGCAAGAACATTTCAGATTTCAAGCACAACTGATTTTTTTTTTTTTTCAGTAATGATCCCCTCCCTAATACATTTGGCTGGTGCATAAAGACTTATTACCCATATTTTAAATGATTTCAGGATGGCATGCAGGCAGTTTCCACAGATCAGAACTGGTAATAGACATGGCACTTTCTTGCTGGCCCTAATTCTGGCATGTCAGGTTTGCCTGATCACTATGGCTGTAGCAGTAGACAAAAAGGTATTTTAGTGACTACTAAACAGAAGTGAAAAAACTCATAATATGAAGAGAAGCAATTGATAGGAAGGAGTGAAGAAGTTGGGTTTCTAGGTAACAAAAAGAACAATTGGCCAAGAGTTTACAATGTATATATAGAGAAGTATCTTAGGAAATCAAAGGGAGTGCAGACAGAAAAGAGTTGGGATTGATTTAAAGTAATCAAATTGTATATTATTGTCTCCTGGAGTTTAGAAAAAGAAAACTCAGGGAGAGTCAGATTTCCAGACTTTGGCAGAAATATCCACAACCACAATGCAGATGAAGCTGACAAAATGTTGAACGATGAACAAGATGCAGCTACTCTGGCAGAAATATCCACAACCACAATGCAGATGAAGCTGACAAAATGTTGAACGATGAACAAGATGCAGCTACTCTACAGTCTACTGCAATTTCCTAATACACATATTCACAAGTGCTAAATGTTCTATTTACCCCAAATCCAATTTTTCCAAAAGCTATACCAGTATAGTTTTGTCTCTAGAACAGTGTTCAATAAACACACCATTTATTATGACAGTCCTGAAGCATTACAAGATGTTATAAATTTATTCGGAATCAGATTGTGTTCAACATGGCTCAAATCTTTACAAATCATAATTCTTGTTAGTGTAATGTTTCCTCCATAATTATACTACATACACATAAGTTTAACTATACAAAAGGCAATGCTGGCATGGTTTGTGGGACCTGATGTGTGGTGAGAGGACCCTGCTCCAGTTAAACTGGGGAGTGCGGAATCCACTGACACCCTCCAGGGCCTGCCTCCTACCGTGCCATTGCTTGAGCCCTTGATGTTGAGTAAAACATAATCTACCACTGGAGTTTATATTGTAATCACTGGGCTTCTCTCTAGCATTAATGTTCTAAAGTTAAAAAAACAAAAAGAACTAAGAGAGCATATTTTGACGGTTAAAGTACTTCTCCCTCTCCAGTATGGACTCTCTGATGTTTGGAAAGATTTGACTTACTACAGAAGGTTTTTCCACAATTATTACACCAATAGGGCTTTTCCCCAGTATGGATTCTATGATGTTTATTAAAATTGGAGCTGTGGTTGAAAGCTTTCCCACACTCCTTACATTTATACGGCTTCTCTCCAGTGTGGAGTCGCTGATGAGAACTAAGACCTGCATGCTGACTAAAGCTCTTCCCACATTCATTACACTGATAAGGTTTCTCCCCAGTGTGTATGCGATAGTGTCGAATGAGGCTGCCTTTACCACTGAAGGCTTTTCCACAATCTTTACACTGATATGGTGCCTCTTCAGTGTGCATTCGCTGGTGTTTAAGGAGGTCTGAGCTCTGACCAAAGGCTTTTCCACACTTACAGTCATAGGGCCGATCCACCAAGTGTGTTCTGTAATGAAGGGTAAGGTTTGAGCTGTGGCTGAATGCTTTCCCACATTTGGTGCACACATATGGTTTCTCCCCAGTGTGTGTTCTCCGGTGTTTAGTAAGATTTGAGCTATTACTAAAGGCTTTTCCACACTCAGCACATATGTAACGTCTCTCTCCAGGGGCAGGTTTAATAGGCATTAATTCTCTACCTTTCTTAGAACCTTTGTCTACAACAGGGGTTTTTATTCCTCTTTCTTCTTCAAGGTTTTCCCACTGCTTTTCTAACCTGGCCTCACATTTATTAGTAATAATCATGGGGATAATATCCTTTTTGAATTCTTCTGCATGAGACTCTTCAGAACTTTTCTGCATATCTGTTGATTCCTCATTCTGGGTGTTCGATTTACAATCTGAAACAGTAAGTAGAATAAGACATGTCAGTTGTATTCTGTTCTGAGAAGAAAGTGTTAAAAGACAAACAGAATGATCAGGTGACACTGATGGGTTTTGAAGGCTGCCTACATATTGCTCGATGAGAGCTCATAATATCAGAATAATACATATAAGTCATCATCAAATCTAGTTTACAATGTCAGACTTCCACACAAGCCCCCTACCAGAAGCTATTAGGGTATGATGAGTACATTGCTTTTTCTGCTAGGAGAAGAACTTCATATATAGAGGGTAATAAGGCAAAACCAAGCATACTGGGATAGCTGCAAGGACATGGTTAATGCTCAGGCAGAAGGAAACAAGTAAGAAAGATTGACGAAGGGTCTTTGATTAAGGAAAATAAAAAGGATAATTATGTGAGAAGAGACTAATGGCAAACTCACAAAAATCTATATGCTCATAGAAGCTGAATATAAAAGCAATGAAAGAGAACATTCAGTCCATTTATAATAATTCTAGTCCCAGATCCTTATTAATTTGAATGAAAGTACTTAACCCCCCACCAGGGTTCAACTCTTAGCACTTAACCTGTATTGGCTTTATCTTGTAATTCTTTTCATTATAAAGTAACACTGTTGAAATCAGATCGAGGTAGTATACCTTTTTAGAACATTTCACTAGGCAGTCACACTTCTAAAAGTCCATCTAACCACTCACATACATAGAAAAAGTAAGTAAGTTCCCTCTGAAAAATGGGCTCTGTTTAAGCAAGGTCGTCCCTCCATGAGTACAGAAACCCTAACTGACAAGGTACTTTTCTCTCAGCCCTCTTTTCCTTGTCTCTCTCTAACTGACCTTCTAATTCCTTCCTCTGCCAGCAGTAACCACTCAGCTGCTTCCAGGCTCACCTGCTATTTGCTGTCTGCTGGTGACCAGCATCAGGAGTTAAAATCCCTTTCACTTTCCATGATGAGCAATCACTTGGCTACTCATACAGACTTCCCTTTAAGTTGCCATGAACTATGTGTGGAAAATAAGTAACTTAGTAAAAGTTAAAAACTTTAAATAGCCAAATGAGGCAGAAAAAGAATTTACCAGGGACCATTTCTGCATAATCCAAGGCTGATTATAACCAGTTCACTAAATTATTAACAAAGGAACAAGCACCATCTCTTATTAGTTTATTCAGCCTGTCCACACTTCCTTAATCAGTCCCTTTATTAAGTTCACTTCAGCTGTCCTTTTTATAGTGTGTCATCTGTTCTCACACTAGGACTGACTGAGACACACCTGAGGGAGGACTGAGAACTCATTCTGTCTAGTCGGCCAAAACAGTCAAGTCAATCTAGATCAAGGATCCCCAACCCTGGGCCACGGACGAGTACCGGTGTGTGGCCTGTTAGGAACCAGGCCACAGATCAGGAGGTGAGCTGCAGGCAAGGGAACGAAGCTTCATCTGTATTTGTAGCCGCTCCCTAGCACTAGCAACACCACCTCAGATCATCAGGCATTAGATTCACATAGGAGCAACGGTCCTGGTGCCAAAAAGGTTGGGGACTGCTGCTCTACGGGATTGTCTCATAACCAGTAATCAGAATTAGTCTGTTTCTTCAAACACAAAGGCCTGGGGTACTGACTGGGGCCTGACAGATGGTTCCTACCTTGAATCTGTCTCAGCTCAGGAGTGAAATCCTGTTCTTCGCCAGTCTCTTGGATGTATAGTGGTCCCCAAGATTCGTATTTGGGACTGGTCTCCACAGACTGTGGTTGTGTGCTGCTCAGGGATTCCTTTGCTGTTCCTGAAGAGGACATCGCCCACACTTGTTTATGTTTATTTGGAGGTGGTGAGACCTAGAGACAATGAGGAATAGCTAGGTTTAAGAACTAGAATAAAAGAAAATCTCAGGAGAGCTATGTAGAATCTCTAGGAAAGAGAAAAGAAAAACACCCTCCGATTTAATTAAGGCTAAAGTTAGTATAGGATAGTAGGGAAAAAATAGGAGGAAACATGATCTAACTCAGTAAAAACTTCCATTCAGCTATTATTATATGGACAAACCACTCCTGCCTGGAATGCTATGCTCCCAATCTCACGGTTCAAAAAAATTTCCTGCAGCCTACCTGCTGTCCTGGTTCATCCAGTTCTTGTTCCAGATCTTCCAGGAGAGTGACAGCCTCTTCAGCACTCTCTGGACAATGCTCCTGCACCCAGGCCTGCAGCTCCCGGGGCAGGATGGTCAGGAACTGTTCCAGCACGAGTAGCTCCAGGATCTGCTCCTTGGTATGGATCTCAGGCCTCAGCCACTCACAGCAGAGCACCCGGAGCTGGCTCAGGGCTTCCCGGGGTCCAGGTGTGTCATGGTACCCAAACTGCCTGAAGCGCTGGCGGAACATCTCCAAGCTAGGAAAGCATTTCTCTTTCTCCTCCCCGATTTTCAGCCCCACCTGCTCCTGTGGAGGCCTAGGGCCCAGACCTGTGGCCATGCCCAGTACCTTGGTCATCATATGGACTCCAGAAACAGCCTCACTAAAGATGGGACTCTGTGTAGCAGAAATATTGGTTCTTTTGGGTTTCTGGTTCTTTAGCTATAGGTTAAACCTAAGAAAATACAGTTAACATAAAATTACCCAAAGAAAAAAAATGGGAGTGGGGGAGCGGGTGTTTACAGCCACATCTTTAGCACACGCAATTATGGAAATCATGGCCATCATAAAACTATCACATAAAAATTACTGTTCAAAATTTCTCTGGAGTTAGCTCAGGATATCCTACTTTGATTTTACTTTGTATTCACTCTCCTAAAAAAGGCACTACGACATAATTTAAAAATGAAATTTAAATTAACTTTGCTCCGAAAACTGTCTCAGAATCTTAGAACTCCTTAGATTTCGATAGGCTCTCTGCTGGCCAAATGCAGTCTGTTTAAACCTAAGACTTTTAGGGTCATCGTTCAGAATTTACTGGTCAAATGACTGGGCTAGTCAGCATAATCAGGAATCATGTTATGAGGCTGGAATTAACTAGTAAATTTAAAAATGATTGAGTATAATTAGTGATGTAATTTTGAGCTTCACCTGACCCATTTTAAATAGGGCATACTGAAGTTTTTAAATGCCTTTTACCTTTAGCTTTCACCAAAAGGGAAGTAGAATGACAGAGATTAGACTAAAAAGTAATCTATATTCTTATAGAAGTATTTATTTTGATGATATATGTATTACTGAGAAGAAATTACTGAGGGAAAAATTAAGTCATAATAGATGATACAAACAAAATGTTTAAAAATAAATTTTTCCTTTAAAATTTTAAGTATTCTAATAATTCAGTCAGTTGATACATTAGAATACCAAAAACAACTGCAGTAAATATAATTACTTCTATTTTCTTCATTTACCAAAAAAGTGAAGTCCATTCATTCAACATTTAATGAATACCTGCTATGGGCCTCGAGCTAGGGTTGTAATGACGAATAAGACAAATACACTCCTACCCTCACAGAGCTTTCTAGTTAGTGAGGGAGACAGAAAATAAATGTGTAAACAGATAATAGAAGCAGTCTGTCATAACTGACATTCATTAAATAATTTTGAAAGAAAACTACATGAATTAGTAGATTCATGTAAGATTTTACATGCTGTGACTGGCCTTCCTGAGCATGTTTTCAAACTTTAAGCAGCACCTTTCATGTCACATAGATGCTTCCATCCTGGATTTGGATAATCTAGAGAAGGAAAACTCCAGCAGTCTCAATAAAGAGCCAAGCAGATTAAAATCTATGTGGGTGTTTGTTACATGAAATTATATTGATAACAAAGGTAGAGACCATAGAAAGGAAGCATAAATGGATTATATAAGCTGAAGATGAGGAAACAAGAGTTGAAGATAATCTAAATCTAAGGTATTTAAAAACTGAGTACGCTAATTTCTAGCATGCATATTCACACACACCCCATAATACACACATAATCACAATGAAGGTAAAAGAACAAAATATTAACAGTGATATTTCTACGTTTCATTTTTTAAATTCTTATTTTTGATTTTTCAAATTTTCTATAATGGGCATTATTACTTTTATAAATCAGAAAGTCTTTAAAGGGATCATAAGCAGTCTTTTGACAAAACAGTTTTACTACTAATGCCCAAATTTCATGGCCTTCAAAAAACCCAAAAACCCAGGAAAACAAAAATGCAGCAATTCCAGCCCAGGCAGAAGCTCCCCCCGCCCCAACAAATGTACATTTATGTTAAAGCTTTTATATTAGGTGTTTAGATTCACACATTTAGTGAATATCTATTAAAAACATGTCTTTTATATATGACTGTTTCCCTTCACTTATTTTTGCAACCAATTTTGGTAATTTTTAAAAATATGAAATGAGATTCTAGTAACAGGACCTCAGTACATAACCTTGATTTTATGAAAAGTTATTATTAGTAATTATCAGAATTCTAGGGATGCCAGTACTCAGATTCCCCTCCACTGTGCCAGTTCTGATGCATCCTATTGAGATGCCAACAGGTGTTCTGACTGGGTGAACCAGAATCAGCACCGTCCACCCGCTAATGCTGTCCTACACACACAATACACTGCTAGAGCGTGGAGTGCCCAAGTTCAGGATTACGTTAAAACTGAGCCAGGGGAGAAGGACTGACATCTAGTCTCCTAAAATAAAGGCACTAGCACCCAAAGCATTTAAAATAACTAAAAATAACAGATGTAGCAGTGCTGGGAGCATTCCTTAGAAATGCTTAAAAGTAGGCCTCTGTGTCTG